GAGGAAGTGTCTGGAGAGAGGGAAGTCTGGGCATCTTTGCTTAGACTGCTGCCCCCGCGACCCGGCCCCGGATAAGCGGAAGAAAATGGATGGATGGATGGATTCTGGATTCAGGACTTCTATTTGTGATTGAATATATTTATGCTGTACATGATTACGTTTACTTAGAATTTGAATACCTCTTCCACCTGCAGTAATTTCAGTGTGTCAAGCTTCAAATGAATGTGTCTGATGAAGGGCATAGGAACATAAACCTGTACCTCTTCATAATGTTTGGGCTTCTCACACCTGGTCTTCAGGGGGTTCTGCAGCCTGAGCAGACTTGCTACCCCGGCCACAGTCTTCCTCACAAAATTGATGACTACATCTGACAGACAGGACACCACACATAAAAAACTTCATTTGTTTATATTGTTGGTATAAATATCCAGAAGAGTGTTTTATGTTGTAACCAAACCTCGCTTGCGTCTCTTCGCTTCTATCAGATCACTCTGGCAAACACCGTCTACAACATCAACACTGTAACAGGAAAAAAAGATTTGAGATGGCTGATATTAACAATATCACAGTTTGATGATCAAGTCATTGTTTCAATCATTTAAGCAAAAACAGTAAAATTGTAAACAATGTGCTACAATTTGCCAGATCCTGCCTAATCAAAAGGGTGGATTTGCAGTTTCTCTTTGGCATATATCATTGCATACGTTTAGCTAAGTGTAGGAGTGTGCATGGTAATACATAATTTGGGTCAGCACACACAGTGATTTTAGTGACTTCAAACAACATATAAGCGAACGAATGCAAATATGGGAGGTTTAAAGGTTTTAAGTTAAGCTCAGATGAGGTTTGCAATTAACTGAAACGCTGTCTGTGACATAACAAAAATGTTTAAGATAAAAGTTTGCCAATGTTAACTGAACCTAATCTAACCTTTTTCCATACGGATCAGTAGTTTATAACGCTGACCGCTAACTTTGCTAATAAGTTAGCTTAATCAAGTAAATACTGGCTAGGAAGTCGGGAGACCACCAGCCTCAGACCTTGATTAAGACATCTATTCATGGATACGATGTGCAATTCAAATGCTGTTCCTGAATAAGCACACGGAGTACTTAAATTGTTTATCTTTCCCAACAAACTGACCTCTGGTAGTTCCTTTTAGCCGGTCTGCCGTGGTTCTCGTGCCGTTGTGCTGCGGCGGTTATCTCTTTGCTAACGTTACCTTTCCCGGGACGCTGCGTGGAATTTTGTCGCGTGACGGGTTCAAACAGCGACGAGATTCCGTCAACTATCCATCCGTACATCCCAGACAAATACGAGACAATTGGAACGACGTCTTCCACGTGGGCCAGGACTAAGATAAGATATCAAACACCGATCTACGACACACACCTCCTGCCTTTAGCTTAGCGTTAGCATCACGGTGCTGAAATGCGAAGAAAGTACGTCACATTATGTTGACGCATGTGTCAGAAGGTCCGAGCGTTTTGCGCTTAAGCACCAACAAAGACGGGTGGGCGGAGTGTTAAAGTACAGCAGAATAGAAACAAGAAATTAAACACCGACCACAACCGGCCCTGGTGTAATTAATAAACGAACGAACACGTGACCTAGTGGTTTTACAGAGCGTTAGTTACAGATCAAGGTCTCCCATATCAATTATTTGTTACATAACTAGGGTTAATATCTGATTAATATCTCGGTGTAACTAACTGGGGAAGGTATTTTATTCTTAGCTGTGATAACATTTTATATCTGAAAAATAGTCTTGATTTTTAAAATAAACAAGTATAATCAAAACTACCATATTATGAAACTAATTAAAATTAAATGGGAGCCAATTTCCACCAGGTACAGAAAATCACCATGAAAATTGTATTTGTATTAATGTTTTTTATTCGTTTGAATTCATTGAACGCAGTTTGATATAGTGTTACCTCAGGATTTTGATTTTCAAAATTGGGGGGGGTAGTAAATTGTTTAAATTGTAGTAAATCCATTTAAAGCATTTTTACATACAGGAAATAGGTTTCACAAATCATAAAATGTTTGAAAGATCCCTTATACTCTGATAATCCAGTTCAGAGTTGGTTAAAGTTTAGTGGTTTTGGATCCAGACCAGGTCTGATATGGTGTAGATCATATGGTGTAATCATAAATTAGGTTTACACCGTCACTGAAAACAGTTAATATTAACTGATTAACTGGGGTAAAAATGGACAAAACGTCAGAGAAAACACTCTCCATTGTAACATGTGTTTCCCTTATTTACCAAATTGGAGGCTGTGAATTGGATTCGATCTTCAGCCTCATGCCTGTACATTGTTTATGGTTTATTATTCTATTGCTCTGTTCCTGTTATTTTTAACAGGTTATTAACTTAAAGAATATGTAAGCACAACCATGTACAAAATCAAAAACACATAATATTGACTGTTTCATGAAACAGGTCCATTTGCAAACTTGACTGAAAACATTCTGCGGCACCATAAAATATACCCAGTCAGTTTAGTCTGTAGTCACACATTAAAAATATTTATTAGTTATAACAAAAACAGAGATACAAAAAATACATGGTTCATCTTTATGAAATAATGTACTCAATTTTGTTGATCATGGATCATTCGGGATAAAACCAGTTCACTCTGAACAACATGTACAATGGGTTAGGGTTAGTTAATCCTATTTACATAGCAACAAAAGGATATAAAACAGTAGAAAAATATCAAATCACAATTATTTAAAATAATAAAAACCTTGTTCTTGCAACATCTCAAGAGTGACCTTCAAAACGCATAGGTACACACAACAGGAAAACCAGAATGAAAACAAATCTTTTTAATGGTTGAGAAATAAGGTCTGTAAAGAAAAAATATGAAATAAAAATGAAAATATGTAAATATGTTTAAATTCTTTTTGTTTTAGCAAAACTTTCTAAAAATAATGAAAATTTTTCAGTACAAAGGCTACATTACTACTGGAAGGTACTAGCAGGTAGAGTAGGTAAATACACAGTAGAAAATGATTTTAGTGAATCACAATGCTTGCAATGAAAATAATTTTGCAATAAAGATTTATGCCTCTTTTTCTTGTTTTTGTCTTTTCTACAAACAGTACAAATGGTATTGCACATTACAACAAAGAATCAAGGTTCTTAGCCTTAAAAAAAATGGGACTAATTCAAGTTTTGTGTGAATAGAAGGCCACCAGTCAATTGTTGCACCTTGGGGGCTTTCGATCAAGATCCACGTGAAAACACTTGTGTCTGATTCATGTCAAAAAAAAAAAAAAAAAAACTTTTTTTCTCCCACCACTTGTGATATTCCTTTCTACAGCATCTTTATGGGTGTGAGCCATGGACGGTTTTTAAAAGATATGCAGGCAGTAGCTATTCGTTCTCTGGCTGGTCGGATTACTTTGGGTCAGGCTGGAAAACAGATGAACCTGCAAGGACACACAATCAATAGATAAATAAAAGTCAATAGATTTTGGACACACTGAGCTTTTGTGTTTGGTGCACTTGAATGCAGATGGAAAGCTCGAGCATTTTATCAGACACCAAACAGCAAGCTTTTTAGTGTGAGAAACCACAAAGTTGTCCTTATCCTTAGTGTGGGGTCCATGACTGCTTTGTCTGTCTGAGACATACATTTTTGACAACACAGCTTCTGGATATGGTATGCCTTTGAATGCAGATCACAGTAACAACACGTAATTTGCAGAAAATGATCTTAAACATGAATTAGCAATGATATGATCTATTGCTATGAACTGTTTTTGAAAGCCAGAAACCTCCAGGGCATGTCATCACGTCTAATCCAGGGCACTCAGTACCCATCCTGAGAGTTTCACTGTGCTGCTTTATTGTTTGGTGGAGTGAGTATATTACACTCACACTCACCTGGACCATACAGGTAAAGCGGCGACAAACAGCTCAGGTACAGCCACGTCCTGTTTTCCTGCAGCCAGCGCTGCCGATAGCCAATCATATCAGGGGAACAAGCTGACTGTATCCTCCTTTCGTCTTTAGGGGGCATGGTTAAATGAGTCTTGCTTACTAGGTTGGGAGATGATAGAGCACACAGGTTTTGTGGGATTTGGTAACAGTCCCAGAAGTGCTAGGCCATCAGTCACAAAAATCCGACTGCCCTTTTATTACCAGTGAGCAAAGAAAGGCATGCATCTATAAATCTAATCTGCATCCAAGCTATAAAAATCATACACCCTGTGCTCTGTAACATCTCCCAAAGTGATTACACATAACACGCTTATTAATTAGGTGCTCAGAACCCCAAGACACTGTTTTGTAGTTTGGGATAAAGGAGGATACCATGAACTTTGTAGGGTACCATCACCACAGTCATTTTATCTCCTCCACCTATGTGCATTCAACACCATTTCATGTCCTAATATTCACCTGCTTCGACCTACTCAATGCTTCTCACCTTGCCTGGCTCCTACCAGCCGTTGCTGGACTTTCTCTAGATGGTGAATATATTCTGTTAGGGATCTTTCTGGATCCTGAGAAGTTCTCCCTGAAAGCCCTGAGGCCAGAGTGGTGCTGGAGAACGACCTGAAGAAAGATAACAATTCATTACAGGAAGCAGCTCTTATTTTGATTCATCTGAAAAATCTTCCAACTCAGAAGAGAAAGTTCCAGTCATTTCTGAAGAGGAAACCAAACCTGTTGTGCAACCTGAAGGGTGATTTGCTGGGTGGAACAAGAGCCGACACTGTCTCTCTGTTTAGTGGCAAATTAGAATTTGATTTTGGTTGTTGCTGCTTTAAAACTTCAGCTTTAGATCCTGTAACAGACATTAAATGTAAAAACCAACTTACATTTCAACAGTCAAATGATGCATATTATTATAAAATACTGTGTTCACTAAACTGACCTGGAGCATGCCCATTGACAGCCTCAGACGGAAAATACTTTCTGATTGCCTTCTGCCATTTCCTGGTCAGGAACCTCATTCTGAAAAATAGCATGAGGTTATTTTAATGCATACACAAGGTCTGACCTCACTTTTAAATACTGACATCCCAGTTTGCTCCCTACCTTGAGACCGCAATGACGACTCGTACAGCAGCCCGAAATCGCCCGAGGGGTTTACGCCGAGACGAGATTGGTGGTGAGGGCTGTACCCCCATACGGGCAATAAGACACAGTGTGGCCTGCTCACACTCATGGAAACCTCCCAACAGCAGCAGCAGGTAACGCTTCTGGTACACCAGAGCTTTCCTGAAGCTCTCAGCACGCAGGTAGCGCTCATATATACGCTGCACCTGTAAATCAATAAACAGGTTGTTACTGTTCCATCACCGTCTTAAATCATCATCACACTAGAATGTTTGCTAGTGATATTGGCCAGCCCTGCATTTCAATACCACTTTTACAGTTAAGACAACAAAAAGCTGTTTTGGATTCACTAAAATTCATTTCAGATTTTACATTTCTACTATGCAAAAAAAAACAACAAAAAACAAAATTTAATGTTTTTTTTTATTTTTTATGACCTAACCTCCATCTGCAAAGCTACACTAACATACAAGACAAACCGAGTGAAACTAGGAGCAGGAAAAAGTGATGCAACTAAATATAGGAAAATCTGTCGGCCACCATCGGGTTAAGTTTAGACATACAGGGCCATGTTTCCCCACATGTAATTTCTTTGACATACTCTAAGCACAGAAAGCCCACCCAAGAAATTTTCTGATCATGAGAGTCTTTTACAGTCCTCACATTACTATGCCATGCCAGCTGACTTTTCAATAGACTTATTCTCACTGAAAACAGTCTGACATGTCATAGCAGGGAGCGCATCAAATTCAATCAAGGCAGGATTCAATACAACTTCTCCAGTTCCAGATCCCTATTATGTGTGGAAGGACTTAACCGTTCAATACAACTTCTCCAGTTCCAGATCTCTATTATGCATGGTGTGGAAGGACTTAACCAGGTCACTAAAACAGAACAGAGCAATTAACAAATGGTATTACATCCAAATGTAGTTAAAATTTTAACAGAACTGCAAGAAAACAGGCAAAAAAACAAAACAAATTTATGTACATCTCCATCCATTGATATTGCAAATATTAGGAGTTGTGCTGTCAGCTGGTGGCACTAAACCTCCAACCTTTCCTGCTGTGACAAGTTAACATCAAATTCCTAGTGTGTTCAACACACCTGGCCAATAGAGGCAATTCTGATTCTGAGTATCTACCAAGAAAGCTGTACAGAGCAAAGATGAAAAGTATGACAGCAAATTTATATGGGTGAGGTGCTCAAGTGGGAATAACACTGCCGTGATTAATTTTGAAAAATCTAATCTTGGAAAGCTGAGCCAAAAATGAGCACTGTTCTTCTCGCGTCAAATGCTGCGTGTTCTACTACCTTGCCGTTACTGGTCACATCGCTGATGGGTCCGTTTTCCGTTTCTGTGACCTTGGCAAGCTCGTTCTCTGTGTGGCGTAGCTGTCGCTCCAGGAAGGTGAGTCTGTGTTTGAGGGTGGCTCTCTCTTGACTCAGTGATGTCATGCGCTCTGTCAACTCAGAGTTCTCCTTTAACAACCTGTCCAGCAGGCTTGATGGAGATGACATGGACAGCACCTACAGTGAGAAAAGTACATCAGGGGCATTTGGGCAGAAGACAGATTGGAATAATGTTTCTCATTTTGCCACTACTATCATGTCATTTGCATTTAACCATTTTAATCACAGATAATAACCACGTATGTACCGGCTGGGTTTGCTGTGTGCTGCCTGCCTGAGCACCATCAGTCTGGAAGTTACTTTGGAGATGCTGTGAAGATGCAGCAGCCTTGTGTTGTTGTGTTGCCTGGCAAGAAAGTCTCTGAGCAGCCATCTCTCTCTCCTCTCTTTCCAAGTCTGCTAGAGTGTGCTGCAGCTCCTGCATGCGGTGCTGGTCCTGTTGCCTCAACAACTCCAACTCATGCTGAAGTCAAAAACATGAGGCAGTGTGTTTATGCCTTAAATGTGTGAAAGTAGTGAGTATACCAGTAAAGTATAAGAACTAGGTTAATGATATCCTACCAGTTTGTTACTGATCCTTTCCTGCTGTCTCTCCCTCTCCGTCTGCTCTTGCCTCCCCTTCCTCCTCTCTCTCTCCCACTGCTTCTCCCTCTCTCTCTCTTTGTCCTTTAGCTGTCGGAGTCTCTCCTTCAGCTCTGTGAGCTCCACCACTTGGAGTCTGGACCGTTCCCGCTCCACCTCTAAAGCACGGCAAGCTTCCTGTTTCTGCTCCTTCAAGGTCTCCAGAGCTACACGATGTCGAGTTGCAGCCTCCTGTTCACTCTGCAGCTCCTCCCTCCTCGTTCTGTCCTCCTCTTCCCACTTCCTTCTGCTCTGCAGTAGCTCAGCCCGCAGTTTGTCCATCACAGCTGCCAGCTCTTCTCCCTGCTTTCGCTCCTGCTCTAGTTGAGCACGCATGTCGGTGATAAACTTCCTGTCTCTGGCAGCATCAGCCTCATACCTGTGACTGAGCTCATCTACCTGCCTGGTGCATCGGGCTCTCTCTTCTTCCAGTTTCCCATGAGCATCTGCAAGCTTAGAGTGAATTTCAGCCAAACGAGATTCTGCTTCAGCCAGGAGGCGCTCAAGATGAGTCTTTTCTTGCAAGTTGAGGTCGTGCTGGTGAGCAAAACGTTGACGTTCATTGTCTAGTTCTTTCTGGGTGTCAGTCAGCCGCTTCTCCAACAGCACACTGCGGGACTGCTCAATCTGAAGCTCACGTCTGAGGTTGCTGCAAGCCACCCTCTCCTGCTCCACCTGACCCTTCAGAGCCATGACCTCTGACCTCTGCTGCTCAGAGGATAATTGAACAGCCTGGACAGGCAGAAGAGGATTATCATTTAGAGATTTAAAAAAAAAAAAAAAAAAGAAAGCTCAAGTACAGTCTCAATGTTTGATCATCAGGTACATTTCTCCTGTGTGTGCTCACAAGATGTGTACCCTCAGGGTGCATGTTTTAGTCCTCATCTTACCTCTCTTCTTGTCCCTTCCTCTCTGTCCTTACGGAGACTCAGAGCTCTTTCCTGATCCAGCTGTTGTTGAAGCTCCTGAACTTTGGTCTGCTCCCTCCTCAAAGTTTCCTCACCTTCTTCTACAGCTAGCCTGAGGAAATAATTGTCAAAGCACAATTCTAAACTTTCTTTTCACCACTGCATTTGGAAGGTTATGTGAGTGTAATAGAAACAGCAGCCACAATGTACAGTATGTCCAAAGTCATAACACCATCAAAAGTACCTAAAACCATACATAAACAACTGAGGGGATTTACTTGATGTTAAAGCAAAATATAAAACACGATTATTTTGTATTTAGGTAGGTGAGCAGTTAAGACACTTTTCCAAACTAGCCAATTAAATTATATCCTAATACAATATACAACATTCTTTGAAATAAAGAAATCCCAGCTTTTAAAGATCAACTTTGATGCCTTAAATTCTGAGCACAACAAATTTGACAATCAGTACACAGTGTACCCAGTTTTGTATATTTTGATTAATGTTTGATATAATGGCGAAGGTATGCTTTTTCAGTGCATGAGTATTACCTGAGTGACTGTATTCTGTTCTTCTGCTCTTGCTGTGTGTCATAAGCACATCTTAGCTGTTTCTGGCTCTCTTCCAACTCTGTCTTCAGCTGGGACTCAACTTGTCCAGTTTGTAGTGAAGCTCTGTGCCAATCATCACCTCTGTAATCAGTCTGTGGAAAAAAGATGAAGGTCAGCACATGTATTCAAAAAGGAATCAGATGAGAGGGAATAAATTAAATATCAATTTTAATAAAATTTTTAAAAGCTCAAATGAAAGAACATGCAATTATTTAAGCAAAAAATGGCTTCATTGCCATTTACTGCAAATCTTCCCATTAGATTATCACTGTAAAGTATTCATTAAGAAACACAAACTCACTTGTGTTTGTCTCTGTGCCATTCGACAGAGCAGTTCTCTGAGAGCGATCACAGTCTCCTGCAGTGCTCTCTTTTCCTGTTGCCAGCTCATGGGGGGGTTGCAGGATGATTCATTTCTGTGGTCAGGTAGTGTGGAACTATCTCCAGAATGATACTGTTTCTGATTCAGTGAGACAACTTTTAGGTCTGAGACGTGAGGTTGAGTTGAGGGAGTAGCACGACGTTGGGACAAAGTGAGAATTCTGCAGCTTTCCTGATATACTTTCTGTAATAGGCCCTGCAGAAAAATGGACAGAAACTGAGTAAAAATCAAGATAAGATTACTGGGAAATAAAATTCCTGCAGAGTGCGAGTGAACCACACCTGCAGCTCAGGTGATAACAAGTCATCACTGTAGCTCATACTGCCTGCAGCACTATCGGTATTAACTGTGGGGTTCATTCCTCGGCAGCGGAGGTACTCGACAAACTGAGCATCCAGCCTTTCAGTCTGTTCTAGCTCCACTCTCAGCCTTGCACCCAACTCTGAACTTACATCTGAAACACAAGAGGAATATAGCACATTAAGAAGATAATGTTCTATGTTCTTTCTATGGTCAACAAACTCCATAAATAGTACAGTCTGTGTGGTCAAAACCCAAGATAGCCACAGAGCTCAATTTCATCCAAAAATATGAGCCACACTAATGTAAAGGGTGACCAGTTCCTTGGGCACTGTAATTCTGTGACTGTAGCTGAAAATAGTCCTCAGCCAGTGTGTGACCTTTACCAACTCCATAATGCCCAGCTTTTTGTTTTTTAAACACATGTACAAATTTGTGACCAGTTCTTCAAAAATAATCTCATGTGGAGTTAATGTGTTGTACTTCAGGCTGAGGGTCTCAGATATAGGAAATCACTGAGCCATCCATATCCTCTGATGATGGATGGATAGATATACCTTGACCCGGAAGGCCAGGTTTACCCACAACAATTCTACACCTTTCACGCTATGTGTGGCAATACTCACTGCTGCCATATCCATCACTGGCCCATTCTGCTGCTGACAAGGAGGAGGTGGAGCCAAGTGGAGATGAAGGTGCTGTTAGGTCAAGTTCTTCCAACTCATGCACCTTGAACAAAAAGAGAGAAATGTAAACAACAAAACAAACAAACCAACCAAAAAAAAACACGTCTCTTCTCAAAAAAGTGGCACATACAAAACTTTCAGACCACATACTTTGTCTGCATCTAGAGAATCGAGCACGGAGAAGTTGTCAGACACCGACAAAGAGCCTGTGGGGTGGGTACTCTGTGTGGCTGGATCTGGTGTGATGGTCCTGGAGTGTGAAGGTTCCATCACAACCCTGGGAGAATGCTTAAGCTGGGGGATATCCAGTCCTGTGTTGTTCAGAACGCTGAGCTCAGACAGATGAGAGCCAAGAGCAGATGTGTGGAACCGTTCTGGGATTCTGTCCTCGGAACATTCGAGTTTCCTTAGAACCTCCGGAGAGCTCAGAGAGGCTTCTTCATGAGAGATGCTCACAGCTTCTTCAAAAGCACTGTGAGAAATAGCTGACAGAAGAAAATAAAAAAAACTGTCAGTGTGAGAACATTTCTGCTGCAATACAACCATCTGTAAGAGGCGAGATATTCTAGTCTTATATACTTGAGCACTACCAAATGTCAGTGTTAACAGTGCAAAAATGAACTTGTTAACAAAGATATACACATCCAGCAATTATGAAGCAACATTATTCATTAGGAGTTACATTTCTGGACACCTGGTGAGTGTCTGTTCAATATTCACTCCCTTTTAGCACCATCTTTCATCTCTGCCAACTCCACTGGAGTGCGCTCTTTAGCTGCTAAATGCTCCACTATGTACACTGGCTAGTCGCTAATTGTGTCTCACTGTGATTTAGTAGTGGACAGTTAGTGTCTAGTTGGGCTTTGGAGCTTTTTTTTTATACTGCAGTAACTAAGCTGTAGTTCAGACAAGCTAAACAACTGGCTCGAACTCACTATAAAGCTCTGTAAAGCCAAGGGAAACTTTGGTTATAAACCACACTCTTACCAGCATTACATTCATTGTACAAGAACATTTAAAAAGCTAATTACAAAGAAAGCTCAAACTGAAAGTACTTCTGTCTTACTGGCACAACTGCAATGTGTGTAATCAAAAACATCAAATACTCACCTTTCTGTGAGCATCTGTGTTGATGATCAAGCGTGTCCTGCTGTTGACAGTGTTGTCTGAGTTGTTGTAGTTCTTGTTTTTGATAGGCCAGTTCCTCTTCCTGTGCAGTCAGGTCTTCCTGTAGATGTCGAAGCTCTGCCTTTAGCCGCTGGTTGTCAGTTTCCAGGTCAACAAGAGCACGTTCTTTGGTCTGTCAGACAGACGTGAGAGATATTCAGATCCATCTGATCATTTTTAACTGTCAACCCACTAGTGCTACATTTTAACAAGTCAATAATCTGTGGCTTTGTACAGAGTAAGAGGACCAACACATCAGCTCCCACTGCTATACAACTTTTCATATTATATGCTTACTTTTCACATACTCATACCTGCCCTTCCTCATGTAGCTTTTCAGCCCTTTCTGTGCTGGTACTTAAACCCTGTTTCACAGCAGTCAGCTCCACCACCAGGGCCTGATGTTCTTCCCTCAGTTGAATGAGCTCAGTCTCCTTCTGTCTCAAGGCAATGTCTGCTTTAGCGAGAGCCGCTTCAGCATGTGCCTGAGAAAAAGAGTATCATAACAGTCACTTTCCTGGACTGACACATACATTCACTCCCCATGTTATTCTTTTCCCAACTTTTCCAGAAGACCTTTTGTATATGAGCATCAGATAACTGAAGATAAGTGCTTTGCTATGTAAAAGTGCTTTAATGAGTATGACATTTAGTATGTGCTACGTTCCCAGCTTATACACCAGACAAAATCTTTCATATCTACTACTAAAGTATTATATTATACTGTCATCATGATGAACACATATGAAAAAAGTATCTGAAGTAGCTATAACTAAATTTGCATTTGCAGAATTCAAAGACATACTACAGCCTAATTAGAGCATTCAGTTTCTCTTCAAAGTCAATAACTCCTCCTTACCACATTGCTGCAAATAAAAAGTAAAGAAATGAAAAATAAAGTGCAGCAGAGCTTTAAAAACAAGAGCTAACAAAAGGCTTTCCTTCTGCTTCCTCATTTTAAAGCGGCTTCCTCTGTGCAAGTATGATTCTGCTGTCTCAGTGTCGTAACACGTCATTACATTCCTAACTATAACCAGATGTGGTCTTGCCTGCAGTTGCCAGTACAGCTGTTTGCTAGCAAAAAAGTGGCAGCCAGATATTTCCTCTCTGAACACTGGGCCTTTTGAAGCACATTTGTCTGGGTAACTTCACAATGAAAACCACAAACATGAACTGAGGAAAAAGGCATTCATACATTTTAAGTTATGTACTGTATATCTACAAGCACTTCTTTAAGTGTGTTTGGTTCATATTTGCATTTTGGATTGTGCTTTCAAAAATAATCCAGTTTACCTTGCACAGTACAGACACTCACCAGCACCTCCTTCTGAGCCTCCTCTTGACTGGTTTCCTTTTCACTGAGCTGAACTGTCAGGTCCTGGATAAGGGCTTTCATTGAAGCAGCTTCCTGCCTGAGCCTTTCAATTTCCTCCTGCAGTTGCACCTCTCTCCTCCTCAGTGCCTCACGTTCAACATAAAGCTCTTCCTTCACTGTCTCAAGGGTTTTAATCTTTGCCCTTTCCTCAGAAACCAGTTCCTCCCTATCTGTCACTTCAGCCCTTAACTCCTGGACTTGTCTCTCAAGAGTGAGACTAGTTTCTCGGAGAACCTCCATTTCTATTTTAATCTCTTGCTCTTTTGTTTTTAGCACGTCAATCTCTCTCAGCCTCTCCTGTTCTTTCTTTTGGAGTTCCATAACCAGAGAGCTGAGATGGGTTTTCTCCTCATGCAGGGTGCTTGTCTCTTGGGCTTGAATTTTGTAGGTGTCCCTCTCCTCTTCATATAGTTTTCTCTTCTCCTCCTCCTCTTGTGCCTGGGTTTTGACCTCCTCTAGCTCAGCTTCCTTGAGGGTAAGGAGTCCCTGAAGCTCATCTGCCCTTTCTCTTTGAGTTTTCAACCTCATTCCAAACTCCTCCCCATGCCCTCTGTACTCTTCCTCCTGGGTGAGTAGTAATCTCTCTAGTGCCTCTTTCTCTGCCACCACAGTATCCAGCTGACTTTGAAGGGTTTTGAGACAAGATCGAAGGGACCGAGAAGAGGCGGAATGAGTCAGACTGAGCTCTTGCTTCAGGCTGTTTGGTTCTCCCCTCCTCTCTTGTTCCTGGACAGCATAGTGTTGGGGTTCAGGACTGGGAGCAGGTGAGGGATTGATGCTGTCACCATCCTGAGAGTCGCTGACCTCATGCACATTGGGGCCCAGTGTGGCGAGTTCTGCCTGTAGTGTGCTGATGACCTCATGAAGGCGCTCCTCTTCTTCCTCTTTGTCCTGACGTACTCTTGTGATTTCTGACTGAAGATGTTCCACCTGCGAGCGCAGATCCTCAAGCTCAACCTCCAATGCCTTTATTGTCAAAGATTAGAAGCGTACAATTAAAATTTTCATCACTACCTTATCAACCGTCTTATTCTCACTGTGCGTTCTTGTACTGACTTTGCTGTTCCTAGTGTTCTCGAGCTCCTGTTCCAGCCTTTGGATCTCAATGCTGAGGTGGTCGATCTCCTGGTTTTTCTCCTGGAGTAATGCTGAGGGGAGGGTCTCCTCCTCCGTTTCCTCCATCTTGCTTTGTTCATCTTTCTCCTCCTTAAGTATTGTCAGAGCAGACACATTCTCCTGCAAGCAGTATGGTAAAGTTAGCCAGTGGCCCCACACACACACCTTACAAGTAAAAAAAAAAAAAAAAAGAAACGTGCACTGTCTGGGCCCATTGACAAGTAGCAGATAATGGTACTTGGTCCCCAACTCTTCTAGGTCAGTGGTACTGAAGTTACAGCAATGTTTAAACAGTCTCAGTCCCCCCCCCTCCTTGAACTTGAGCATCTCATCTGCTCACATTCAAGTGAAAGCTGAGAATGTACACATGAGCCACTCCCCCCCCTCCCCATTACACATCTAAAATTATGCAATACAGAAGCAAATAGAAACCTGATGGTCTTTGTCCCAAACATTATGTAGAGTACAGTATTAAAATTTGAGAGGGCGAGATACGCCCCACTAATAGACAGTCATCTGGTATGAAGACAAATAAGTTCTTACCTTCAAGACAGCAATCTGCTCTTGGAGCTCATTAACATGAGCTGCATTTTGACTGGTCAGTAGCTCCAGCTGTAATGTTAGATGTTTTAGCTCAGCCTCTTTGATGCTCAAGTCTCTCTGCACATTTTCCAGTTGGCCAAGAAGGACCTCAGCCTGAAAGACATAATTAAATAAATTGTTATATAACTGCAATATAGGCTTCTGTAATGGGTTAAAATTATTGAGCACTGCAGCAAAATGTGTCAGTCAGCCACGACCAAGAACCATCCAAAATTATCTTGGCAACACCAGTGTTACACAAAATTTTACACACCTCTTGCTCTTTGCTCTGTAGATTTTGCTGAGCAGTGTCTAGGGCTTCCCTAAGCTCCTGGGTAGGGTCACGCGCACTGTCATGGTAACAGTGTCTTGTCTCATCCAGTTTGGACTGCAGGGCGGAAATCTGAAGCCTGTTAGACAGCTGCTGCTGCTCCAGTGCCTGCTTATCCTGACAAAAGTGAGGGAGTATATTTATGAGGGATGACCAACATTCAAGTGCACAGCAATTTCAGGATTTTTTTTTTTTTTACTGGACCATGCTGAATATGAATGATCTTACTTGTGTAAGCTCCTGTTCTCTCAACTTTGCCCTGTGGAGCTCTTGTTCAAGTTGACCGATAGATCGATTATGCTCAGCGGTGCTGAGCAGCGCTTGCTCAAGCTCTCTGATCCGCCCAGCCAGCTTGTCTATCTCCTCGTTACGTTCTGATAAATCACGCTGGGCTTCCTGATTGGCTGTGAGCAATGAGGCATGATCCTCCGTTTTGTCTTTGATGACCGCCTGTAGACTCTCCACCTGCAGAGACAGAGAACATGTTTAACTGAAAGTTTCAAAGGTTTTAGGTCAGTGGGAAAACAGGATTTGCAAGTAGAAAACTACATAATTTATTATTAGATAAGCCATTTTGGATCTCCAGCCACTGGTACTGAACAATAAAGTTAAGCCATTAGCCAGAAAGCAGCGACATGAAGAAAGACAAATGAAGTGCAAAACAGAAGCTAATGCATACTGGCAAACAGGCAATGAATGTATGGCAAGAACATAAAAGCACTGATGACATCTATGAAGCCACTGAAGTAATGTTGTACCATGCACAAGAGTCAGAGGTGCTAAAAGAAGCATGCTACAGTTAGATGTCATACCTGCAGAACCAAGTCCTCAAACTACAGCAATCCGTTCAGCACAGGGATAAACATATGGTACAAGTCAGGTTCACTGATAAATACATTTGAACTTCTGTAAGTAGTACTATGTATTATTCAGTTAAATGGTTTACAATCCCATCAGTAGAACAAAGCCATCACAAAAAACAAATCAAAAGCACACAATGCAAACGTTAGTCACTTCAATGACCAATTACAAATGCAAGCATTTTGTACAACACTGTCTTGCATATCCTTCATGTTTTAAACTGTGTATTTATTATATTTCTTTCACTAAAAAAATGAATTGATTATATGTTGACAATATCGCTACTTCAGTGTTTTTGTTACTCAGTTTATGCTATTACATGTTACTCTACCAAATGAATGAGTCTCACCGTGTGTCCTTTGTTGTCCACACTGGCTGTCAGTCTGAGTTGGGCCTCCAGTCTGCGGATCTCCTGCTGGAACTCATCTCTCTCATGTTCACGCTCCACAGCTTGCTCCTGCATGTACAGGAATGAACTATGAAATACAGCGCCCACTATATCAAGGAGTAACATGAGGACCTGTCTATGGCCCTTTCACAATAGGGAGAGAACAAGAACCTTCAAGATCATGTTGAGACAACATCAAATGGAAGCTGAAACTGAAAGTCCAGTTTGTGAAAAACTACATTTCACACACTCCAATATAGGACAGTTTTAGAACATTTCAATATTATAATTTGTTAAAAGGCACCTCTATAAACTGCCGGTTGTGTTTCAGCTGTTTCTCTAGTGCATGGACATGTTGGTTGAGGTCTTCAGTGTTGGTCTTGTAGTGCAGCTCTGTCTCCAGGTCCTTTGTTTCTTGCTCTTCCAGCTCTCTCTCCAAGACCCTTAGGCGCTGAGACAGAGAGCTGAGATCCTTCTCTGCCTGCCTCTGTAAGTCCAACTTCTCCCTGGCCAAACACTCTGTTTCCGCAAGTAAAACTTCAAAAAAAAAAAAAAAAGGATGGTTAAGGCAGCAGTTTCAATGTTAATACATACAATTTCAAAAGCAAGCAAGGCATAAGAGAAGAGTTAAACACATACAGCTATATTACATCCTGTGCCTTTCCTCCTGGCAAGGCACTGAATGTATACTCTAACAGTTCTGATCTAAAACATTGTTTAGGAGGTAAAATAACACAGCACTCCATGAGCTTTTATAACAAACTACTGGCAATGGCAGAGTTAAAAACAGCAACATCGCACAGCACTGCAAATATAACATATATTCATCCCCCACTGCACTGTCACACAACCAATACTCCAATCTGACCCACAAACCTGCATCAGGATCTAAACTGAGCCAATAGCCTATGGAGAGAAGACACATCCGAGCACAGACATAACATAAGTGTATAGTGCATCACTAAAAGGGTCATGTAAAATTATGCAGACATACAGTACACATGATTTCAGGATTTTGTGCTTCTACCACGCACCTTTCTCTCTCTCTCCAAGTCCAGCAGAGAGATGTTCCTTCTGACGCAGGAGAATTGCATGCTCCTCATCAAGTTCCTGATGCTTCTGTTTGAGGCTGTCCAGCTCAGTGGTGAGGCCCTGCATCTGATGCAGCTTCACCTTCAGGTCCTCCAGTTCCTCTACTAGTCTCTCCTCTTGTGATTCCTTCTGCTGCAGAGACTCCTCTAAGGCTGCTTTCTCAGCCACATAGCCCTCTATGAGCCCTAAATACAGGAAGCAAATGCATAGAGGATATGTAATGAATTAATGCAGATGATGAAACTGGAGCATGGGCAGGTGAGAAAGGTGTGTTAATAGTCAGCGGATTAACTATGTAACTTGGCAGCATATGATGAGTCAGGTGAAGCAACAAGGATACAAATGCCCACCCTCTGCCTTGTGGAGCTCCAGCTGGAGTTGACTCTTCAGCTTTGCCTCCTGATCAAGCTGCTCCAATAAGCGCTTGTGCTGCTCAATGAGTTGGGCAGTGTCTTCTCTGCCCTGAGAGAACTTTTCCTCCAGTGAAAGGTGGACATCATGAGTCTGCGCCAGCTTAAAAAAAAAAAAATGCAAAAACCCACAATTATTATTACATTTATATGTATTTGAATGAAGGTTTTTGTGTGCATTGTTAAGGTACACATCTGTAAGTATTGGTAGGTCTATATACCTGTGTGTTGGCCTGATTGAGCAACTCAAGTAGTGTGTCTATTGTGTGATGCAGTCGACTGCATGCATTCAAAGCAGCTTCTTCTCCTCCAGGACTCATCTGACTATCTGAAACCAGCAGACTCTCACAGAGCAACTGTGTCAACTCTAAATCCTCTGATGACAAGTCTGTAACTGAAATACCTATGGAGAGAATAAACCAAACAAAAATTTTAATTGTGCCTTAGAGAATTAAATATTATTAGTCATGGATACAAACAATTGATATATTGTTGTCTCTCAGACTGAACCTGAATGAGCCATAAGATGCACAGCTTTCTGTATAATCAAAGCCTCATTCCAAACCTTAACAGAATTGAGATCAACAGACCTGATTCTTGTGCATTTTGGTTTCTTGTTGAGTTCCTGTGATGCATCGCCTGCTGAAATGATTTTGTTCTGGCACTGATCTTTTGTCCAATCAGCTCTTCTGTTGCAATGGTGCAGCGAACCATCTCAATTAGCACCTTGCTCAGTTTTTCATTGGCCTGGTGCAGCCGCTGCCTGGGAGAACAAAATTACCCATCAGACACATACAGTAGACAGTAGTCCCTCGCTATAACGCGGTTCACCTTTCACGGCCTCGTGCGTTTTGCGGAATTTTTTTAGTGCAATTTTGCATACTTTTTGCATATCGTGTCTCCTGTACAGCAGTGGTCCCCAACCTTTTTATCAGTGCGGACCGGTCAATGCTTGACAATTTGACCGCGGCCCGGGGGAAGGGGGGGGGGGTACGTAGATATGATTTTGATAGTTTTAGAATAAGCACAGTATAATCAATATCCATCCATCTTCCCATGGCATGTGCACACACTGCATGTCTCATCCTGAATGACATCTCCTGGTGACTTGCTTGGGGAATTTTCAGCCAGAGACGCTAGACAGATACAGGCCGATAAACATCAGTGCGTGATGGGACCCAGTGACATAAAGGAGCTTTCTAATCACCACACTCACATTCAGGGAGGCAGTTCTTCCTCATGGCGAGTCTCTCAGCCTTCTTCCTGGCTTCTGCTAGGCTGAAGAGTACTCCGTAAACATACTGACGGATAGGACGAAACAGCTGCACTGCTGAAGGCAGATCTTTGTTAGCTTCATCTTCAATGGTGACAGAAAGTTTAATCTCTCCCTGCAAAGACACACTGTTACCTCAGTGCTGCACAATGACTCCAGTGATTCACTAAAGGTATTTTGTCTAGACATTTGAATGCCTGTGTTTTCTTGAAATCTACTATTTCTTTTGTTATACAGTGGTCCCTCGCTATAACGCGGTTCACCTTTTGCGGCCTCGCAGTTTCGTGGATTTTTTTTGTGTGCAATTTTGCATGCTTTTTGCATGCCATGTCTCCTGTACAGTACAGAAATTAAATTCGTTAGTTCTAAAATCCATCATTATTATTTATAGGAAAACGTTTATACATTATTTTTATTTATTTATATTTTATATTTATTATTTTTCTACGAAGGTTTGAACTTTGAGAGTGTTTAAACAAGAGAGAAAAGTGTGAAAATGTTAATGCCTGTCTGAGAAAAGTGTATAAAGTGTGTATGGAGGGGTTTTACAGCCTTAAAACATCTATAATAATTGTAAAAAATAAAGATGACTACTTCGCAGATTTCGCCTATTGCGGGTTATTTTTAGAACGCAACTCCCGCGATTAACGAGGGACCACTGTATACACTAAGCAAAGTACATGACTATGCTGGGAGATTAGATGTTTTGCTCCATTTGACATACAAGTGTCTAAAATATTCCTGGTAAATGAAAACAAATATTTTGCCCAGAAAAATTTCCAGGTATAAGAGGATGATAGAGGATTACAGATCTACTCTGTGCAGATTACTTAGTGACCAATTAATTATGTATTATAATGACACCGATTACTGACAGTAACATTGGTGTAATAAAAGTGAAGACAGACAACACAAATAATTATTCCCAAATAGTGTATATTGGCCAGTAGTATATATTTTTTAAATAAAGTAAAAAATTGGCCTGTGATGTAGGCATTGTGGGGGGTTTCACTGGGATGGCAGCCCACCATGCCTGTCAAGATTTTTGTGTTTTATAGGAGAATTTAACTCGTTTATTTTTAGCTCTTTAGAAAAAAAAAAATGCAGTGACGTTTTATGATATGAAGTACCACTAACGCTTGCTATGACAGAAGGATTTTGATTTATCATCAGGCTTAAAACATGTTAAATCTTAAGTCCCTAACCATGACTTAAAATGTTACCATGTGACAAATTGATCTGAAAAAACCTCCAAGTTAGCAAGTAAATGAACCAGTATGAACTGAAAGCCATTTTGAAGTATACAATTCACCTAACTACAACTGCTATACACAAAAACATACTGAGCATATACGAGAGCATACACATTACTTACTTCTCCTCTTTAGCAGTCTGCAAGTCATCAGTGAGCATCTGCAGAAGGTTGCCTCCTTCCTGACTTTCTCGTTCCCTTCGTTGAAGGAGGGTATCCAGGGTCTCCATCTCTGCACGCTTCCCTTCTAACTCACCCTGCAGACAACCAACCTCTGCAATTGAATAGTCTTTGTCTTCCTGTATTTGTGGTCAGCCAGCCAGGTCTGTTTAATTCAACCTGTACTGACATTCTTGATGTTTGTGCTCCATTTATTATAATAATAATAATTATTATTTATTTATATAGCACTTTACAACTCGAAAGGAGCACAAAGTGCTTCACAGCAAGACATATGTACTCTAGTAAGAAAGAGTTAAAAACACTAGAAAAAACAAAAACCTGAAATAAATTAAAACAAAGTTTAAAAACAGAGGGGAAAGTCCATATTGAAGTATAAATAACATAGAACAACAGGTTAAAAAAAATATCTCCGTGAAACGAGTTAAGTAACG